TTTATGTGGCCCTGTCTGTATCACTGGACAGGCTTCTAGGCCTGGGGAAATTCAGGTTATAAATTGTAACCTGAGGCAGTAGCTCCATGATGTCAACAACTGGCTGATTTAGTCAAAGGATCAAGGGAAAAGTCATCACGGTTCAACATTCATTACTAAGCCTTTATCAAACAACAAATGGAGGTCTTCATTCGATTTCTGATTTTGTTTTGTCTGCTTTTAAATCTAAACCACTGCATATTAGAATTATCCCTGGTAATTTTGGGGTTTTTTGTTGCTGTTGTTGTTGTTTCTTAATTTCCATGTCTGGGCTCTACCTCCAGCCAACTAAATCGAATCTCTGAAAATGGAGTCTGGGCATTCGTAGCTTTTAAAAGTCCCCTGGTAAGTCGAATGTGAAGCCAGAGTTGAGAATCACTAGTCTAAACCTATCCTCTAAGCATTAGCAGTGTGTTGAGAACTCCAGAAGATTATCATCATGAAGAGTTCCTTTAACTTGTTCAAGGATTTTCTAGGTTCTGTTCTCATTGTATCTTCACAGCTCTGTGAATTAGGCAGCTCAGACACTATCATTAGCATTGGACAGATGAGAAAATGAGGCATAAAAATGTTGAATGAGTTGCCCAAGTGTACCCAGCTAGTTATTGGCAAAGACACATTGTAACTTCACTAGAGGCAAAGTTCTTGTTTCCCCAAACCATGGTTCATCCCTAATCACTGAACCCCTTGACTGTTAGTAAGTAGCCCTAAATATAGGTGGTCGCTAGAAAACCAATTAATAGAACGGGATCAAACTTCAGAAATAAGTGTAACAATGACTCAGTTCAGGGTCAGTGTTCCAAGGTGTGCTTTTCTGAAGTCTGATGGGATTTTGAAGGCGCTTGCTTCCACGCACATACTTTCCCCACCCCCACACCACCTTTCACAGATGCATATTCTCCCAGGGGCTGAAAAGATTCTGGTAGTTTCCATCAAGATATTATTTTCAGAAAAGTATTTTTAAATGATTAAAAAGTCATAGAATATCAGAGGTAAGGGGAACTTTACTGGTCAACTTTCCCCACCTCCTCTGACAGATGAGAAACCTGACGTCCCTTTTAATTTGATATATATAGCGTGCTAACACCATGCCAAGTACTTCATATCCATTATCTTAATTAAATCTTCGGGATAACTCAGTAAAATGGGTACCACTAGTGCCACCACCATCATCATTATTATCGTCATCCCCATTAAACAGAAAACAAACAAACAAAACCCAAGGTTTGGAGATGCTAAACAACTTGCTCAAAGTTTCTAGGCTGGTAAGTTAAGATCTGGTACAGTCATCCCTTCGTATCCCAGGAGGATTGGTTCCAGGACCCCGATGGATACCAAAACCCATACTCAAGTCCTTTATATAAAATGATGTAGTATGTATTTGTATGTAACGTAAGCACATCCACTCATATACTTTAAATCATCTTTAGATTACTTATAATATCTAAAACAATGTAAATTCTATGTAAATAGTTGTTATACTATATTGTTTAGGGAATAATGACAAGAAAAAAAGTCTGTACATGTTCAGAACAGGGGCAACCTTGGTAGGCTTCACTACATAGTACACATCAGCAACAATGTAACATTTTTTAAAAATATTTTTTATCCATGGTGGTTGAGTCCAGGGATGCAGAACCCCCAGATACCAAGGGCCAACTGTATTTATATTTGATTCAAAGCCTGTGGCCTTATCCCCCTCCTTCCATCACCTGGAGTGACAATAGTACAAAAAGTAAAAGCTAAAAAAATCTTTATGAAAATGCTAAGAGGTGATCAGTGAACACTTATTTAGTGAGGTAGAAACTTGGCATTGGGGATAGGCCTTCACATATATATAGGATTTTAGTAGGCATTCCAGCCTGGAATCAACATGATACTGAAGGCAGAAATGTGACAGGGAAGGTATAGGGTGAACAGGGACAAAGAGACAGAAAGAGGTGGGGAGTCAGACTGTGGAGAGTCCTGAGTGCCGGATTAAGGAATTTATACTTTAATTGTAGGCAAGGGGAACCCACTGAAGGTCATTAAAAAATGTGAACCGAGTTTTAGAAATACAGATCTCATAGAGTGTTGAGATTGAATTAAGGGAGCAGAGCCTGGTGTGGAGACCAGTTAGAGAGCAGTTACACCTCAATTAGTTACGGTGTTCTTAACCACGTGTTGCGCTTGCATCTTCCTCCCCTGCACTGGTTTCTTCGGGGTACCTCCATGCCTGTTTCATGATTCTTGTATCCCAACACACTACTTGAATTGCCATGTCGAGTTCAGGTGACAGGGACTTGAACTTGGGCAGTAGGAATGGAGGTGAGAACAGGTTTGAGGGGTATTTACAAGTGCCGATAACTGCTCAGAAGCGAGAAGGTAAGAAAGAGAAGCAGAGTAGAAAAAGACTAACGTTTCAACTTAGGAGAAGGGGAACAACTAATGAGACATGGAAAGAAAGGGATGGTCAATAATAGCATAAAATGGTGAATGAGATGGAGCCTGGCCAAATCTCAATCCAACAGGCGTTTACTAAGCAGCTACTCTGTGCTGGGCATTAGGGGAACAATGATGAGACAGATTGGTTTTGCCCTCTAGTATCATCCAGAGGGGGGAAAAGACAAGACTAGCAATAGGCTGAGGCCTGACCACCTAGCCTCAGTCAAATGTCACCCTCTCCTACAGGCCCTCCTAGGGGGTCATCTATCTCAAACACCGTCCCCACCACATGATCCTGTTTTATTTCTTCATTGCACTAACAAATATCTGAAATCCATTTATACATGCATTTTATTGCCTGTTTGCCCCATGAAAGCAGGAACTTTTTATCTTGTTAGTAGCTACCTGCCACAAAGCCCTCAGCAGGAAATATTTATTGAATATGTATATTAATATATATATATATATATATATGTATGTATGTATGTATATATATATTAAAGTGGATAACTTCAAGGTTAAGACCTCAAACCAAAGAAGGTGGGTTTCCAGATGCCTAAGGAGACAGACATGTCTCCTTTACTCTTAGTGGCTGAAGAGTAAAGCCATTTGAGGCTGGGGCTAAACCAAAATCCAGGGGGCCAACCAAGGAAACATCAGTGCCGGGGCTTGACTACTTCACATAGATTTCAGGAGTCCCCAACCTGCGTGAGATGTTTAACAATGAGACCAGCTAGCAACCTAGCTCAGGTTTTATTTCCGTTGTCTTTCTGACGTCAGAAAAAGCACGAGTTGCTGTACAGTTTCTTCTATCAAATTACAGCTTTGCTGGGCCCTGCAGTCTGCAAACCATCGATGGTCTCTCCTTCCCCTTATATTGAAAAAATTTTAAACCCACTGCAGAGATGTCAAATCTACACCGTTTCCTAGAGCTGGGGTCTGTTTTCCGCGTACTACATACATCACCATGGATTCGTCCGAGAAAGTACGTGATCCTGCTGGCAGTTAGGTTTCTATCGGGGAAACATTGTGATAAAACTGGGTCCGCGCTGCAGAGCGAGACACAAAGGACTCAATTGTAGCACCACCTTCCCCAGCGGAAGACAGCCCCTGAAAGTCACCCCCAAACGCCGTGACGCCGTTACCGCGAAATTCCTTTTGCCGCCATAATACACTTCCTTCTTTGACCACAGTTCTGTCGAAACCCAGGGGTGGGCGATTCTGCAGGGAAGCAGCGGCCAGGCAGCCACGTAAAGTGTGGGGTCCCAGTGGGTGCTGAGGAGCCCAACAATCTGGGATGCCGATAATGGGGCGGAGGCACCCCGGGGCGCGCACTAGGGCAGAGGAGCACTTTTCCTCCCTGCACCGACAGGACGAGTTCAAAGGCCTTTTGTGGCAACATTTAGGGATGCGAGCGAAGTGCCTGGGGGGGAGGGGGGACGCGAGGGCAGTCCATGCCGGCCCTGCGCAAGCGGCGGCCTTTTGTTTGCCAGCTCCAGAGGATCCCATCTCCCAGAACTGCACTTCTCTTTCTCCCCTTCTTCCTTTTGCAAAGAACCTCTTTAGGGCGGGAAAGGCCAGTGAGTCACTGGCAGCATCCTTTAGTAATCTCCCCCGCACCCTCCTGCTCCTCTCCGTTACTGAGAGAGGGGCAAAGCTCGAGTAAGGGGCGGCAAGTGTGCTTGGGTTTACTCGCGCTCCGCGGCCAGTTTCCGAGACTCAGCCAGCGGCACGCACACCCCTGGGTACATCACACGCTCTCCTGTGGCCTCTGCCAACAGAAGAAATTCCCCCCAAATGTCCGCTACACAAACACTTCTCCGGTATGCAGTCGCTCCCTCACCTCGGCTGCGCTCTCTCTCTCCACACCGGCGTGGTCCCTGACCCTTGTATAATTTAACCAGATCGGATGCCACATGCTGCCACTATGAAAACAGACCCAAAAAGTAAGCCACGGCCCATGCAAAGGTGAAACCAGAGCCCTCTGCGCCTCCTGAGTCTCCGGCTTGTGTTCGGAAGAAAAGGGGACCTGGACTTTTCCTTACCCAAAAGCAAAATCCGAACCCAACCGGCACGGCCACGCGCCCCTTCCTTTCACGCCCGCACGGGCGACTCCTAGGTTCCTGCCTCCTCAACGCACATCTCCAACACCCCTGTCCTCTCGGCGCTCCCTCCGCTCTCCCGGGTAAGGAAAACCATCGTACCTCGGACAATAAAGGGAAAAGTGGCAAAAGGAGAGCCGTCAAGGTGTCCGCCCTCCTGGATTTTCCTCCCGCCGTGTGATGTCCTTTGTGTCAAGGTCTGGCTGCCTCGGCCAGAGAAAAGGTGGCCTCAGTCAACCAAGGCTGGGCGGGGACGATTGGCGTGGCGGTTTTCTGAGGAAGGTGAAGGGCGGAGGTTCCCGGCGACCTTCAGGCAACGCGGAGTGGCTGCCCCAGCCCGCTCTCCCCTAGCTCTCCTCCTCCTTTCTGGGCCGATTGCATCAGTCTCCCCACCCCCACCCCCACCCATACTCTGCCCGCCAGCCTCACACTTACCGTGACACGCTCCAGCGCTGAGGGTCTCGAATCTTAGTCATCTCCTACTGGCGGGCGCGTCGCCCTTGCGCGTCCATGGCTCGTGATGCTTTAATGGGGAAAGTCAGGCCATTCCTCTGAGTCCTGTGCACGGTCGCCTCCCCTACCGCGAGCCCGCTCTTTAACCAAAGCTGCGTGTCACTGAGCAATACCTGTCACATGGTGTCTCTGCTGGCGGCCGTGCCTGCTGCTTCCCTCTAGCCGCTTGCTGAGGATGCAGCGACCGCGGCTGGCGGCGACTGAGCATCGGGAAAGGGTTGAGGGAGGGGTTGCGGGGTGCGCGTGTGTCGGGCGCACTGACGGTGGCACCGGGAACGAGGCTGCGTGCAGCCTGGACACCTGCCCCACGCCCTCCTGGGACCCGGCAGTGAACCCAGATCCTGGCTGCGGCAGCAGCAGCTACAGACTGGGGATGGATGTGGGGCGTCTAGGAGGGCTTGGGCGGATGAGAAGAGGGCTGTTTGCTTGGAGGGGGCGCATTTGGGGAACGCCAGAGTCCAGTCAGGCCACAGGAGCGAGGGGAGTTGCATTGTGGGAAGGGCGCAGCGTGAGGATGGCCGCGGGAGCGGCTGGCCATCCAGCAGCTAGGCGAGTTGTTGTCGGCGCCTGGAGTTACGGGCAGCGATGGAACGGTGTGTTGGCTCTGGGAACAGCACCGAGATGGCCTGGGTTGGCGCGAAGGGAGCCGAAGTGGCCGGGGCACCGGGGCGCCTGCGGGCACCTTTGGAAAGCCTTTGTCCTTAACCCACACTGGGAGGCACCTCCCCTCTTCCGGAACTAGTACCCCCAGACCTCGCCAGCCCTCCCCAGATCTGTGCTGTGGAGCTCTATTTTAGGGACGGGGTGTGACGGGACCTAAGGATTTGCTGAGCTCATAGTGCGCACCTGCCGAGGCGCAAAGAGGCCCGCTTATCCCCCGCCTGGATACCCCACGTGATTCCGACCCGCCAGCCCTGCGCGCCGGGGTAACGGAACAGGGGCGCTCTAAATCCCGGGGGGCAGTGCAAGCTAGAGAGCAGGATGGAAGGGACAGGGCAGCTGGACCCATTTCCCTTTCTTTTGCTTACCCTTTGTTATAGCCCCTTTTAATTGGCTGGGCACTTCCTTGCGGGGGAGTTGTGTTTCTTTAAAATGGCGACAGGAAATCCCACCTGCGCGTCATTGGATTAGACTGTCACTATAGCACGAATTTGCGGGGTGGAAACTCCAGCTTTTTATTGACAGGAATGGTTCAGTCTCCGTGTTCCATCAAAACAGGAAAGGGAAGGTGAATCATAATTCAAAAATTAATCTACCTGGAGCGTCTCAGGCGGGCAGACTGAGTAATCTGTAATGGAGTGGCTCTTGCTTTTTTTTTTTTTATCATCACTGGAAAAGTGAGAAGACAACCAAATTTCGCACTCCTCCTAACTAAAATCCTTATTCCCGTCGAATGACAATAAATGGTCTTCATTAGTTCAACAAAGGCTTTCTGAGAACTCTGTTTAGAAGGCATGCCCTTGAATAAACCTGAGAAACCGAGCAAAAACGAGGGGACAAAATGATGGACAGCCTAGCTCAAACAGACCTGTGATCAGATTCTGCCTCTGACACTTACTGCTTCCCTCACCTACTTTTGTCCTAGTCTTGTTTTTCCAATTTATTAAAAACAGAATTAATAGTACTCACATCATAGTAATATTCTACAGGTCATCAAAAGGTTGGTTCTTACCCCCCTTTCCTTCTTTCCTAAAAACTCATTTAGTATAAAATGACTAGTTTTAAGTAGTGTGCACCTTGCCTGCCACCATAATTCTTATGAAAAAGGTAAGAAATCCGAATAGGCAAAGTAAGTAAACTGTGAGCATAGCTTCGTAAGTCTGTTGAAATGCTTACCTTTTTAAGCAGAAGGTATATTCACTAATGTTTGTTTGGAGAGCTTATCTTTTGATTACAGTTTTAACCTACTTGCTAGTTTCAATGCACCAAAAAGACTCCAGTTACCTAGCATATTTTGAATTGGATTCAATAGTGATGAATTGAGCTTCTACTTCTTGCCAGCTACTACTGTGCTAAGCACTTGAGATACAAATATTACCTCATTTAATCCTTTCCACCACTCAATTAGGTGTTATCCTCTTTGTATGAACAAGAAAACAGGTTCAAAGAGGCTGAAATGGACCATGTTCACTTAAGACTAAGTGGTGAAAGGGAAAGGGAAGGGAAGTGGATCCCGTTCAGGTCTCATATCAAAGTCCATGCTTAGTCTCAACCACGATGCCATCGCCATTTGCAGCTGGACACTCTTGGGCCTAGAATTTTCCAGGATCTTCACCCCTCTTCTGGATTTTAGCTAACAACCTGTAACGAGTGTAGATATCAACCAACGTGGAGGCTGAAATGAAGGACTTGTTGTGTGGAGAATTGTGGGAAAGGTGGGAAGTGGTAGTGTTCAGGGAGAGTAACTTCAATGTGAGTTTTCCTCCAGGACAGCCTGTAGGTGAAACTTCTTTTCAGGGGTCCTTTTAGTAGCTCAGCACGTAAACCCAACTGTTGTGGTCTCAAATAGGGGCAAAAGTGGTCATGATGACAACTCCCCTATTCTTACTGTGTGCTTATTGAGAGGCAACAGAATAAGCCCTTTATAGATGGTCTCTCATTTAATCCTTACAATATTCCAAAGAGGTATAGACCATCTTAATCCCTGACTCAGAGGTTAAGGAATTTCTCCCAATTTCACACAGCTCTAATTGGCACATCTAGGTCTTAAATTCAGAGCTAACGTCAAAGCCGATTCTCTGCCGGCTCTAAAATATTCCCTGCTGCTAGAACAACCCTCATGTGATAGTTCCCAGGTCACTCTGCCTTCCAATGGGAACCACTGCCCTGTTTCTAGAGAATCCAAAAAGTTTACTCTGTAACAGGTTTGTGAGCTCCAAGGGCATTGTTGATAGTATGTTATGTTCCCAATATGGTGCTGAGGTAGTCAGGACACATAAACAGGCTGTATTGTGGGCTGCCCTTGTAGAACTGAGAAAATAAAATTTCTGTATCTGCTCTGAAAGTGAGGCTGCAGAAGGAATCTGTACTGTTAAAGCAGAATAGAATCACCTCAGGGCACCTGGGAATTTTCCAGTAGCCCCATGAGTCCTTTCCGTATGGTTCCAGGAAGGAAGGGCAGCTTTGTGAAGAAAGATCAATCATACCCTAAAGAGGATTCAGCCTGAATTTAAGCCACATCTGCTGTCAACCCAATTTCACTCTGTACTCACTTTGGTTGCACTTGCTGAGGCTGAGTTACCCAATAGGACAACTGGAAGCATTACCACCAGCTGTGTGTGCTTACAGAGAAACAGTGCTTTCCTCCCTGAATTTTCAAAGTGGTAATAGGATCAAAACTATCTTCTGAATATGTATAGTTTTGCTTTTTTTTTTTTAATTCAAAATACAAGTTGGATTTGTTTTGTTTTGTTTTTAATTTTATTGGAGAACAGTGTGATTGTCTAGGATCCATCAGCTCCAGGTCAAGTAGTTTTTTCAATCTAGTTGTGGAGGCCACATCTTAGTGGTCCATGTGGGGATCGAACAGGCAACCTTGGTGTTATGTGTACTGAGCTCTAACCAACTGAGCTAACTGGCCATCCCTATCATTTTGCTTTTTATTTTTATTTGTGTTAAAGATTTTATTGGGGAATTGGGGAAGGGGAACAGATAAGTTGCTGTTCTTCTGTTCTTCGGTCTAGTTGTGGAGGACGTCGCTTCACTGGCCCATGTTGGTGTTATCATTGCTTCCTGGGTGAGGCAGTTGCTCGCCGGCCATTGGACAGCCGCTCACGAAAGCGCATGAAAGTTCACGCCAGCTGCCGGCCAGCCCCACTGTAACCTACACCAGTGCTGTCGCCAGGACTCATGGCAGTTCAGCTCCAGGTCAAGCTGTTGTTCAACATCTTAGCTGTAGAGGGCAGTATCACTGGCCCTCATGTGGGATCCGAATCGGGGTCCTGCTGCCCAGAGCTGGTGTGCCAAGCCAACTCTTAAC